GACTAATGAAAGAAAAAAGGAGTCTGCTTCTGTTAAAGTTTCTCAAAAAAAAAAAAAAAAGGACAACACAGTTCCTGAGAAGTTCATTGCACAGATTGAAGATGGTAAAATACTAATATTTTTTAGAAAATGGTTAAAAGATAAACTTTAAGGTAACAGTAACTTCTCTTAAATCTGTAGCTAAATAATTAAAGAGGGTGTAAAAACCTTTAGCTACACTTACAATTAAATGATTTTTTGTATATATGTATGTATGAGTACTTTTTAAAAAAAAGCTATTAAAACTTACATACGTATTTAAAGTGGTCTTTAATTAACTAGTTTGTGACAGTTACATAGTTTTTGTAGTTACATTGAATTAAATTAAATAACTAGTTACTTTAGGACCAATTTATTTAAAAATTGTTTTTTTTGCGTATTCTAAAGGCAGTGATTATTAGTATATAAATGCTTGCATTAATTTAGAAAATTAAAATCCAAAATATTTAAAGGACTTATTGCATTTACTACCAGCTTAGGATTTTCAAAATTTCTTGCCGAATTTCGTTAATTTTTCTGCAATTTCTTCCTTGCTGTGCTGGCTTGCTTGTTACGCCTGCGTTTTGCTGATATTTGCTCGTATGCCAATTGTCTTTCAAATGTTGGCTGCAGCATTAAAACATTATAACAACAACAACACCAACGAAAGTCAAGAAAAATCCAAAATAACAACAAAAGTATTGCAACCAAAGTTGCAGTTGACAGTTCAACGTACGACTTTAACTTTCTTGCCCAAATGCAAAGTTTCATTTGTATGTATGTGTTTGGTAGGCAGACAGCCGAATGTTGCTACGAATACAATTGTATTTATAAATGTTTCTTTGTATCTGCATGTTTGTGCATGCTAAATGTTAACAATGTCGCAGGTTCTAGCTTTGTTTTGCCTTCCAAGAGGTTTTTAGTTGCTAGCCATGCTGCCTATTCTCTCAATTTTCACTCATTCGCCATTGCTAATACTCCTACTCCACCACCAAGTCTGTTCATAGCCAGCGGCTGTTGCTACTGCTTGTTTTCTAATTTCATTTCAGCGAACGATTTCAAATTGAAATTTATGATTTAATTCAATTATGTAAAATTTTCACAGCAACCCGACCTATGCAAGTCTGCGAGGGAGAAAGAGAATGAGAATGGGCTGTGTAGATAGACAAAAGTGTGCTGTGCTGGGCAAATGGAAAATGTCTGCGCTTAACTGCTATTAGGCCGAGCCTTTAGAGCCGCTTGGTTGGCGGAAAGTTGTTGACAATAAATTAGACTTGACTTTTGAGCGCATAACCGTTAATGTGGGGTGTGTGTATGTAAGTCAGAGTTTTAGCAGGGTTTTGTATTGCGAGTGTGTTTAAAACTGTTTGGTATTAATTTTTCTTAATTTATTTTTGCTTTTTATACTTTAATGATAAGTTGCAGACGTCGGCTTGTGGATTAAATTGTACCAATTTTTTTTTGTTTTTATTATTTATTTATATGTAATGAATTTCTTATTTCCATTACAAGCTTAAGATTTTACAAATGCATTTGATTTTATTATTTTTTTTGTAGGTTGAATTTAGTTTTTTCGTTCAGTTGCATTTTTATAAATTTTTTATATTTTCATTAACGTTTTTAATACGTTATTTCATTTTTCATCTCTATTTTAAGCATTAACTTTACGTTTTTTTTTTGTTTATTTTTTTATTTTTATTCTTATTTAATATTTCTTTTTTATTTATTTTTTTGTTAAATTAATGTTAATTTTATTTTTTTACTGAATTTATTTTTCTTTCAGTTTAATTTAATGTTGTATATATAATTTCTCTTTGTTTTATTTTTAATTTTTAATTATATATATTTATAATTTTATTTGATTTTCAATCTTATATATGTAATTTTTATTTTCAATTTTTTGTTTGCTATTTTTTATTGTGTGTTTGCACAATCTAGTTTTTGCTCATTTTTATTTTTCTATGTGTAATATAATTTTTGTTTAATTTTATTTTTATATCTATTTACATTGGGTTTTAATTGCTAAATTAATACTTATTTTATACGCCGATGGCCTGTTAATTTTTACTCTATAAATCTATTATGATTATAAAATATTACTTTCTTAGTAATTAGTAAACAATTTTTTAAGGAAAAAATTTCCCACATACATACTAATTTTATTTTACTTTTTGTATTCAACTCATTTTTGTTTGTCTTCTTCATTTTTAAAGCTGAGATTAAGTCATTTTTCTTTATTTTTATTTTTGTATATATTATTTTTATTTTCATTAATTGAAGGCTTTATTTTGATTTTTGTTTTGATTTTAGCAATGTTATTTTAAATTAAAAAAATAATTAAAATATTTTTCCTTTTTTCCTACTTTTTAAAAATATATTTTTTTTTTATTTTAATTTAAAAATTTATTCTAAGGGGTTTTTGCTAAGTTTGATTTAATTTTTTTATTTTGATTTTTTTTATTAATTTTTTTTTTTATTATTATTTTTTTTCAATTTGTAATTAAATGATTTGCTCCTTATGAATATTTTTTACTTATATTTTGTGTTTTTACTTTATTAGTTTATTATTGTGTCGAGTTTTTAGTTCTTTTTTTTCAAAGTTGCGTTATTTCACTTATAATTTTTTTCAAATTTTTTTTCAATTTTTTTCAAATTTTTTTTAAATGATACTCAATTTATTTCTCATACTTTCTTTTAAGTTATTTATTGTATTCCGCTGCTTTTAAACTGCAAAATATAAGTTGTTTTAAGTTTTGTACAAACATTAAAATGCAAAAAAGAAATTCCTTTCGCTTTTCTCTTAAATTTAAATGATCCCACATTATCCAGTTCAACTCGTGCCTGCCTTGGCGACTCAATGTGCGCTTCTTCTAGCTTAGCTTAACCGTAATGGATGCTCATTTGATATACACAACACGCGCACTTACACACCCATGTACGGGCTTATGTAATGTAATGCATTTTATATGCTCGTCATACATTTGCCAACAGGATATGTAAGGATACAAAAGCCGTTATGCTTTTATTATTTTCAACAAAAAAAAAAAAAAAAAAATTGTTTGAAGTAAAGCAAAAATTGTTATGAAAAGCATGAATATGAGCAGCAATAGTAGAGAATTTCGCTAACGCTATTTCTTGGCTAAAAATTCCGCATGCAATACACGCTTGCAACAATGTGCATTTTTATACTCTTACATGCAACATGCAGCCATATGGTTATTGTACAAGCATCTTGCTACCATAATACGTTGCTATGCGCATATTACAGTGCGCACACAACTGTTAGAGGTGTTCATATGAACGGCTATTGTGTGTTGCACAGTGGGTTGAAAGCGAAAAATTATGTAGAGTTAATAGCAAAAGCTAAGCATTTTCTCTTACTTTTTAACTGTTCTTGTACGTGTGGGAAATTTTGGTTCAGAAAAATTTCAATGATATTTTGGTGTCACATATGCATATATTTTTGAATTTTTTTTTGATATTACAAATATTTTTGAGCTCAAATTTTAATGCTTTAAGGCAATTATCTTCTGTTTCTCTTGTATTAAAATTAATTAGAAAATATTTTTAATATTTTATTTTTCAAAAATCTTTATGATTTAGTACTACTGTGTGGTACTGGCGTTGTAGTTAAGACTACAAATGTGTAGAATATCGAAGTTAAGGCGTAAATAGTTGTTGTTCCCCAACCCACACACAAAGTTACACATGACTGCATGCATTTTGCGCATTTCGCTTGTTGCAACACAATGAGAGAATACGAATATGTGGCAAATGAATGTGTAAGGAAGCGAGTCTGCGGAGGTGTTGAAACACGATGTGGCGGTATGTTGTTCATGAGCTCATATTAACCAGTTTGCCTTGCCTTGTTGTGCAATGACAATGAAAACGCAACACCAGGCATACAACATAGTACAGGATATACTAGGGGAAGAGTCTTGCCTGTATATATGCACATACATACACACATACCCATATACATACGATTAAGCATTATATTTACCTATACGTTGGCAACTTCACCTGATCGCCTGGGTGGTGTTGTAAACTTTCATTGTATTGCATGCCATGCAGCGTGCGCGCGTATGGGCTCACGTTTAATTTTACACCGTTACACATATATGAATTTACAAGCAAAACCGACCATGCCAAGTTGCCTTTTACAACATATACGCGTGTGTGTTTGTGTGAAAATTTTGTATTCCTCCAAGCTCCCATACACATTCATGCAAGTTTATATGCATACTTACACTTCAGCTACAATATTTACGTAAGTAATTTAAGTTTCACGTTAAGTATCCATAACGGCAATTTCTACAATGTCTGGTCATAATTTAATTAAGCAACTTGTTTACGTGAAATTTTATGACGCCAACCAGCGACTGCATTCACCATCTCACTACGCGCTGCTGAAGAAGACGCGAAGAAGTGTTAAATGCAAGGCTGGCAAGAGAGTGCACGGGTGTGGACTGAGAAGGATATTGCATTGCTTAATTGTTAATTTATGATTGCAGTCACCACAGTTTAAACATAAAAATAACGGTAATGTTGTTGGTAGAGTGTTTAATTTGAAATTGTTGAATAAGTGCATTTAAAAAGGAGTTAAACGGCAGTTTATGTGAGGTTGTGTCAGTTTTGCTTTTATTTGATTTACGTACACTCAGCGCAAACAGTAATTATCGAAATTGGCTGCAAAACGTGGCGTACTCACCTTATTGTACATAGTATATATGTATATTAGTGTTATTAAACTGTTGTAATTGATTTAAAGTTATGACCAGAATGAGTATGAAAGTGAGATAGTCAAAAACGATTGCTAAGAACAGCACTCACTGGCACATTTTAAGATAAAAAAAGGAGTTTGTTGTCATTCATATATTTTTCAAAATCCCTATGCACAAATTAATTCACTTACCGACTATTTTTGGTATTACGCACACAGATAAATGTAAATATATCGAGCTTTTAGAGAAAGTACACACCTTTTGTCAAACTGAAAAAATAGAAAAAAGAGAAAAATTGTTAATATCAAGAATTCAATTTGTTTCACAACTAAATATATTTCTAATTTTCTATCACTTTATTTTCATTTGACTATGGATTTTTAATTTTATTTTATCTCTAAAGAAAAAAGTTTTTGAAACTTTTTAACCAATAATCAAAGTATCTTGGGATAAAAGACTTTTTAGTTTATTAGTTTGAAAGTTTATTAACTAGTTAATTTTAGGAATCGAAATTATTATAATTTTTAATTTTTAAAAAAATATTTCTTCCAATATTTCCATTTTTTATGTAATTTTTGGTTTCTTGTTATTGAGGAACAGTGTTAATTTGTTGTGTCAATAATTGCTGCATTTAATTTGTAATATTAATAAAACCGTTTTTTCTTTATTTTCGCTCAGAACATAAATCTGATTTTTTTTTTATTTTGTGGACAACTTTGTTATATTTTTCACATGATTATAAGAAATTTATTTAATATTTACTATTTGTAAAAATGATCCATAGAAGGCTGAATGATTCAAAAGTTTCAAAGTTTGAAGTGACTTAGAAAGCTTTATTGGTTTTCTGTGTTTCTAACACTAGCTTTAAGACTAGATTTATATGGTAACAACTAGTTAGCAGCTAGTTACTTTAGGTCTAGTTCCTGTTTAATTTGTAAAAGGCAAAATACATATTTTATGCATTTTTTGACTGCCATATTTTTATTTAAGTTTAAGTAAATTAATTTAATTTATTTAATAAACTAGCAATGAGAATCTACTAATTGAGATTTGGTTATTTTAAATTTATAACTAATATATAATAATTTAAATGTAAATATTTTCATGTATTATTATTGCTAAATAGCGTGTCATAAAGTTTTAAAAATAAAACTAAGCATTTTCACTCGAAGCGTATGTAAGCATAATGGCTGTTCCTTAACGACGCCTCGGTTCAGTGTATTTTTATGTTATTTTATTAATTGGTGTTCTTTTTATTTTTTATTTTCTTTTGATATTTTTTTTATCTTTTCATTTTTTCTTTTTTATTTTATTTTATTTGTTTTTTTTTTTAATTTTTTATTAAGATAAAGATATCTTCTTTGAGTTAATTTTATTATCTGATTTCTTATTTCATTTATTTATTATTTAATTATTTGTGTTCTTTTTAATTTTTTAATTTCTTTTTAATATTATCTTTTATATCTTTTTTAATTATTTATGTTCTTCGTTTAACCTTTTTTATACTCTTCATTTATTTTTTAAAACATTTTTACTTTTTTTTTTCGAAATCTTTTTGGTTTGTCTTTTATAATTTATTATTTTTGTTATTATACTTTTTTTCTATTTTATGCTTTATAAGAAAAATATTTTTTGATGAACAGTTTTCTTTAATATTTTGTCATACTTTCATTTGAATATTTTATTATTTTTCTTTTATTTTTAATTTCTGTTGTTTTTATTTTTTATTTAAATTTTATTTACATTTTTTTTTTGTGTTTTTTCTTTTAATATAGCAAAATTTTATCTTTTACGTTTTTAAATATTTTATTAATTTGTGATTTTGTTTCTTGTGTTGTTTTCTGAAACTAATTTTTTGAAAATTTTTTTGCAAAATTTTTTTTTGTATTAAATTCTTGGTTCTTTAGGCAGCACCATGAGTGATAAATATTTAGTTTGCGGGTATGATATGAGATATTTTTGATGTTATAATGGGACGCATTTACATTACAGACGCTTTATTCATGCGTAATAGATATGTATGAAAATATATAAAGGCGTGATGTGCTTTTATTATCAGCCATGGCATCTCATCATATGTATGTATGTCTATACTTTGCAAGAGTCTTTAAAAACAGCTCCAAGCTACATATATTTTACATAAAAAAATATAAATTTTTATATATATCCATATATGTATACTCCTATATCGATAAATGCGTCAAATTATTGTACGTTTTCTCATGATTGCGCACTTTTGCACATAATCTCTTTTGTATGAATTTCTCACCTACTTTTTGTACTTCCTTAAGATAAAAACCTGCAATACTTGAGCGTGTATGTAAGTGATTTTTCTTATGCCATTCCACTTACAGCAAAGTATGCCCCTCTCTAACCATACTCTCGACCTCTCTTTCTCTATTTCTCACACTTATGTTGTCCACATGTGCACATAATAACACCTGGCCAGCGGTGGCAACATAATGGAATTGCACAGTTTGCTGCCATTTTAATACAACCACAGCCAGCAGCTTTTTTGCTTTGACTGTGTGCTCATGTATGTGCGTGTTACATATATGTGCATATATGGAAGTAGGTGTAAGCAACATTTAAAGGTCCTTGCCTTTTACAGTACTCATGTATGTAGGTATGTATGTATGTAAGTTATATTATAGTACTGGCGGCGTCTGACATAAGAAATGCAAACACATAACTTTTCATATATACATATGTGCTTAACACTATGTCTGTGTTGCATTTCGTGCGACTTTGTGGATGCTTTTCGAGGCTGGTTTGACTAGATGGGCGTTGCAATTTGTGCCATCGGTAATTTGTAAGGCGTTCAAGTTGCTTTTTTCTGCTAACCACATTCACACAAATGTATATACATATATATACATACATAGCAGCAATATATATGCATTATATGAATATATGTCTGCACAGACAAACTCTTGAATATACTTGAGTTTGCACTCGAAAGCGTTTTGCAACTTTTCAATGAAACACTGAAACCTCCATGCATACTATGCGCAATCACACACGCATACACACACACGCATTACATTTATACATTTATAAATTTAGTGAGGGAAAAGCTTACTCTTGTATGCACTTAGGCAACATTAAACAGTTTCATGTAATTTGTGTTTTGTGCAAATTTTTCGTAGTCAAATTTTCTTCGTTTATATGAGAGACACCAACGGAATGGGTGGTTACGTATACGCCATGTACGCCGTGAAAGAGTTACTAAATAGCAAAGAAGAGACTGTGGGAAGTAATTTCGAAGAGCAGCTCGTACAAAGTAGTAGCCATTAAAAAAAATTCAAACCTAAAAAAAATGGTCTTAAGCAGCGTAAAGCGGCGTTTAAGCAGGTTAATTAAACAAAAGTTTCTTTTAATTAATGTCCTTAAGGTGGAGTAGCTACAGAAATGCATTTTCATTTGCTGTTTTTTCTTCAAATTTTCTCATTTGAGTTTTTGTTGTTTTTATGTGTTTTTCTTTATTTCCATAGGCTACTATTTCTTCGCTTAGACAGGTGTTTACCAAGTGCATAAAATAAAAAGTAAACGAAAAGAGATAAAAAGGAAAGGGAATGCCTATAAAAAATATTCAGGTACTCTAACTATTCACGTCTGAGTTTGCGTTTGAGTGCTTTGCAGGTGTTGTGGTGCTCTGCTGAGTGCCATTTTATTGGCAGCTGTCTGGCTGCTTACATAAAAGAGATGGAATTTTATATTTCATCAACAGTGGAGGTACTGGGCTCATGCTTGTAATGTGTTTTTCACGTTCTCTTGGTATGATTTTATTTTTATTGAGCTGATGAAAGACGAGCGCTGTAAATTTGATGTATTTAGTTTTAGTTTTTGCTTTTCATATTGACAACAAATTTTTTGGCGATAACTTTTAAGTATTTCGCTGAAGTGCATATATGCATGTATATGGCAGACGATTATCGATTATTTTTATATACGATTAAATTTATATACAATAGTTTTTAATTTTTCATCAGAGTAAAAAAAAATGCTCCAAATGTAGGCAATGATTTTCGTCCAAAACTTTGAGAGCAAAGATTTTTTGCCTACATTTAGGCGTATTTTGTAAACAATTAACAAGTTTTCGCTATAAAATAATTAATAAAAATAATATATACTGTATATTTTCTGTGAAAAAAATTAAATACACAAAAATAAATACATCTAATTTATATATAATTTTGTGTTTAAATATATTTTTAAGAAAATATACAGTAAATATTGCTATTAACATTTGCATAAATAATAAGAAATGAATAATAAAAAACAGTTAACGCGCTTTAATTCATTTTCTCAATGAAATTTAACTCGCATAATTTTACTTATTTGTTGCTACTGTTAGGCTTATATAGTTGAAAGAAATATTGCGGTGTTTTTAATTGCTTGCGTTTTTTTAATCAGCGTTTCGTGTCACAATTTACTGCACTTCAGTTGGTTTATTATTTTATAATTTTTAATGACCATAATTAATTTTTTTATTAAAGCATATTAATTTCTTCCCAAAGTTTATTCAAAAAAAAAAAAACGTGAAATGAGCGAAATTGATATTCAAAATATGTATTATAAGCGAAATGCAAACTCTTCAAGTCTTAAGTCCAATAAATATACAATATATGATTTTAATGAATTTTTTTTGGAACCGAGCAGCTAGCAAAGAATCCTTTTGGTGCAATTTATTTTATTTTGATATCAAACTCTTCAAAACACTTCATTCCATTGCAGATATAGAGCTTTTGCAACTTGACCTAAATATTTTAGTTAGATAGTGCGATGCGAACTGTATGTCCTAAATTTGAATAAGCGCAAATATATGTGACTCTTCAGCAAATATTTCCAATGATACATTAAAACAGTGTTGAATAAGTTACTGACTTCATTGGAGTTCAAGGACACATACATTACCATATGACACTTTACCTCACTTGCTAGGCCCACTTTGGAATATGGCTAAGTTGTATGTAGTCAGCACTATCAATTATATAATGATAAATTGTAATCTGTAATAGCATTTCTTACAATTTGCGGTAAGAAAATTGAACAGGAATGGGAATAAGAATTTTCCTTCTTACCAAATTCGTTTACGTCTCATTAGTTTGCCTACACTAGAAAGATTCTTGGAGTTTTAGCTTTAAATAAATTACTAGAGATATTATTAATAGCCCATTCCTGCTAAGCGAGCTTAACTTTACCATCCCTTTGGGATTATACAGACACTTAAGGCCCCTTTCATTGGGCTCATGCAGAACAAACTTTG